CCTGGAGACACGAGGCGTCACGCGTGACGGCCTCCCGCGCCCCCTCGAACAACTGCCACCCAAAATGCTGGGCGGGCACGGTGGCGGGACTTGCCGCACGCAGCTGGATCTCTCCCCCTTGGTCTGACGAACTTTCGAGTCGTTGGAGAATCTGGGCTGTCTGGGTCCCCGTGCCGCCTGCCGGGCCGCCAGGCGGGCACCGCGACCTCGCCCTTCGCCGTACGTTCTGAACGCGCCCGAGTAGACGAAGCCGGCACCGCGGCAAGCCAGCGGCAGGCCCTGCGTCCCGCGCCCCAAGTGTGCGCAGCCAGCACCGCGGCAAACCCTACGGCGAGCCCTGCGCCCGAGGCGGCGTGTGCCCTGGTGGCCGCGGTGCCCTCCCCAGGACGGAAGGCCGCACGTCGGAACAAGCGGCGCGGCGACACAACCAGAGTTGGCTACGAAGACGGGGCATCGGGAGCCCCCCGAGAAGCGTCCCGAGAGCCCCCCAAAATGTCCACAAGGCCTCTGGAGCACGACTCCGGCGCGGTGGCAGGACGGCCCCAAAACCGTTCGATTCTCGCCCTCGCATTGAAGCCGGCACTTCCCCTTGCCCCCGTCCCCCTTCCGACTCTTGCGCCCAACATGCTCACTTATCGAGGTCGGCGGAACTGGCCGCACGGCCTTGGCAAGCAGCCATAAGGATGGAGCAAAGGACGCAAAGCGTTTACATGACATAGCGCGACAAATCCAAGGGCCGAAGCATTGCAAACACCAATAGAACCGAACGATGCAAGGGTCCCTCGCTTCAAAGGAACATCCTCCAGGCCCGGATTTTGACTGTACGTTACCCTCGACCGAGGAGGAAGACGAATGGGCGGATAGAGGGCTCCCCGACGACCCAAGAGGGCCCCAAGACGCACCCAAAAACGGTCCAAGAAGGCCCCGAGTCGCTGCAAGATCGCTCCAAGACGCCCAAGACGGCCTCCAGGCGGCCCAAGATGCCCCCAGGACACCCCCAAACCCACCCTCTCGATCTCGAATTCATCTACATCACCATCACCCTGGCCGCCCCCAAGAACCAGAGGAAGCAATCTACTCTCAGGGGGGTGGGCGGATGTGGCGTAAGCCTATAGATTCAGAGAGGTCGATTGCTCGACGCTGGGATCCCAATCTGTGTGTACAATTTCCCTGGCACGTCTCATTGTTAGTGCCTGGCTGTGAATGTCTGCCTGGCTGTAGCCACCTGCACTAATCCCCGCAGTGGTGGCAGCGTCCCCCTTGCCAAGCCTCGTCTTTCTCGCTCCTCCCCGTTCCTCGCCTCCCTCCTCCTCCTCCTCCTCCTCCTCCTCCTCCTCCTCGTCCTCCTGTTCCTCCTCCTCCTCCTCCTCCTCCTCCTCCTCCTCCTCCTCCTCAACCAAAAAAGCAAACCGCTCGAGACATCCCCACAATCTGGGCGCGAACGGGCGCGTACAATACTCCCTTGCGATTCCCGCTTGGGGTGCTGAAGCTAGCGCCTCGCTCGAGACATCCTCACAATCTGCTTGGACGGCAGGCCAGTATGTGTCGCCAAACAGACAAACCGCTGGCAGCATCCACACTATCTGGGCGCGAACGGGCTAGTGCAACCGCCCCTGGTGGCTCCCCACTGGAGGCTGAACCCAAGGCCTCGCTAGAGACATCCTCACAATCTGCCCTGAACGCAGAAGACTCGGGGCCACCAAACAAGCAACCCGCTTGAGACATCCCCACAATCTGGGCGCGCACGAGCCCGTGCAAACACCCCGGCGGCTCTTTCCGTTATGAGTGCTGAAACCAGCGCCTCGCTCTAGACATTATGACAATATGCTCTGAAAGCAAATGAGCCTGGAACGCCAAATAGGCAAGCCGCTCAAGACATCCCAACATCCTAGGCGTGAACGGACCCGTGCAAACACACTGGCGCAACATCCTCACAATCTGCTTTGAAAGCAGAACGTTCTGCCTCACCAAACAAGCAAACGGCCTAAGACATCCCGCAAATCTGCCTGCGAACGGGGTCGTGCAAAAAAAAGCCGGCGGTTCACCCTTGGGAGAACTGGAACCAGCGTCTTGCTCGAGACATCCTCACAATCTGCGAGTCGCAAGGCTGAGAGGGTCTGAGTATGAGTGAACCTGAGCATGAGAGCCTCTGACCGGTAAGCGAGTCTGAATATGACTGTTATGACTATGAGTGACACTGGGTGCGAGGGAGTCTGGATATGAGCCTGAGTGTGACTTGAGCCTGTATAAGGAGTATGAGGGTGAGTGTGAGTGAGTGCTGTCACTCGCGAGGTCGCGACTGAGTCTGGGTGAGCATGTGTAGGAGCGAGTCTGAGTGTGAATGAGTATGAGATAGTCTGAGTGTGAGTGAGTCTGTGTGTGGATGTGTTTGACTCTGGAAGCGAGTGAGTCTGAGTATGAGGGAGTACGGGTGAGTCTAAGCGTGAGTGAATGTGAGTGTGAGTAAGTCTGAGTTTTGAGTGTGGGTGAGTCTGCCTGTGAGTGAGTCTGAGTACGCGAACGAGCGAGTCAGAGTGTGATGAATGCCTCTGAATAAGGAAGAGGGAGGAGAGGTCCAAGTAGTTATTCGACGTGGAGATCCCCATTGGTGCATCACATTTCCTGGCACGTTCCGTTGTGAGCGTCTGGCTGTGAGTGTCTGGGTGTGAGCGTAAATCCTAACGGACGACGGATACGACGGCGACGGCAGCTACGAGCCTTCTCCCATTTCTCTTCCTCCTCTTCCTTCTCTTCCTCCCTCCTCAATTTCCCTCCTTCTTCCTCCGTCCTCCTTCTCCCCCTCCCTGGCGCCCGTTTTTCTCGGTCCTCCTGCGTGATCTTCCTTCCTCCTCATCGTCCTCCTTTTTCAAGCCGAAGAGTCCAAACCACCAAACAGGCAAACCGCCTGAGACATCCCTGCAACCTGGGCCCTTTGGGGTGCTGAAGCCAACAGATCACTTGAGACATCCTCAAACTGCTCTGAAAGCAGACGAGACTAGGCAAACCGCCTGAAACATCCCTGCAATCTAGGCGCGAACGGGCCCGTGCAAACACCCTGGCGGCTCCACTTTGGGAGTGCTGAAACCATCGCCTCGTCTGAGACATCCTCACAATCTGCTCTGAAAGCAGACGAGTCAGGGCACCGAACCAAGCAAACCGCCTGAGATATCCCCACAATCTGGGCGCGAACGGGCCCGTGCAAAACCCTGGCGGCACCGCCGTGGGAGTGTTGAAACCACGGACTCGCCTGAGACATCCTCGCACTCTACGAGTCTGAGTTTGATAGGTTCTGAACAGGAATGAGTCTGAGTATGAGGGTGAGTGAGTCTGAGTGAACGTGACTGTGATTACGAGTGAGTCTGAGGGTGAGTGAAACTGAGTGTGGGTGAGTATGAGTGTGAGTGAGTCTGAAAGGGAGTCTGAGAGTGAGTCTGAGAGTGTAAATCAGAGCGTGAGTGAGTCTATGGATCAGTTGGAATATACGTAAGTCTGAGTATGAGTGGGTCTGAGTGTGAGTGAGTCAAAATGCGAGTAAGCACGAGTGTGCATGACTCTGAGTTGAGTGAGAGTGAGTGCGAATGAGTCTGAGTAAGGGCCGAACGAGGAGTCGGAGGAGGGGAAGGTGTGTGTGTGTGTGTGAGAGGGAGCCGGCGTCACCCAAGTAATAGCAATAACCCCATCTCAGGATATGGGTGATCACAATAGCTCCATCTCACGATACGGGGAACATACGGCGCAAACAACCATGAAACCAAACGGATGGGCGGTCAAAAGATGAGGATGAGGGAGGGGGCAAAGAAAGGAGGATGATAAAGGTTGGGAAGAGGAGAACGATGTCATTCTCTTCCTCCCCAACTGAGAAGAAGAGGACAATGACGACGACGACGACGACAATGACTAGACGGAAAAAGAAGAGGGGGAAACGGATGGGGAAGGAGGATGATGGGCGGAGTAATGTGATGAGGGAAGATAGGGAATGTGAGGACGGAGAGGGAAGATCAGGTGGGGAAGAGGAAGAGTGATGATAATGCTCATGCTGATGCTGATGCTGCTGCTGCTGCTGCTGCTGCTGATGATGATGATGATGATGATGATGATGGGGATGATGATGATGACGATGACGATGACGATGATGATGATGATGATGGTGATGATGATGATGATGACGATGACGATGATGATGATGATGATGATGATGATGATGATGATGAGGATGAGGATGCTGATGCTGATGAGGAGGAGGAACAGGAGGAGGAAGATGAGAAGGAGGAAGAGGAGCGAACGGGGTGAGCGAGGAGGAGCAGGAGGACGAACAAAACGAGGAACAAAGAGGAGGAGGATTACCGAGGAGAGAGGAGCGAGGATAATGATAATATAATAACAAAGATAAGGAGAGGAGGCGAGCGACTAGCCGCTGAGAAGGAATATGAGGACAATGAGGGGGATGCGGATGACGAGGATTGATGATGACAGTGAGAAGGAGGAGGAGGAGGAGGAGGAGGAGGAGGAGGAGGAGCATCGAAGAGGCGGAGGATTCGGAGAATGCGGAAGAAGCGCGACGATCGGGAGACGAGGAGCGACGACGAGCAATGAGCAAGGAAGAAGTAATGCCTCACGCGGCCCTGCAAGTGCCGCCCGGGGCGGACAGCAAGGGGAAATAGCAAGAGGAGGGTCAAGGAATCAGCTCACGTAGTTTGTTTAGTCGGCACCTCCCAGCGCCGCAAGCGCCCGTGTATCAAAGAACCCGGCAGCGAAGCCGAAACTAGGTGCTTGCAGCAGTTGCTGTACCGCTCCCCGTTTCCAATCCCCCCCCTTCGTCCGTCCCTTCGCCTCGCCCGACCAAGAAAGGATCGAAAACCTCCATTCTGGAGGTCGAACGTCGGTTTGGGATGTTGAAAAAAACTTCCAGGAGGGAGGAAGGAGCACAGCCTCCTGCATGGAGATCGAACCTCCACTCTGGCGGCTTTCGATCCTGTGGGAGTGCCGCCCCGACCGCCGTCCTGCGACAAACTCCGCGCCCCGCTCCGCCCAGTGGCCGCGGCGCCGGGCGAGCGCGGCGCCTCCGCCACCGGATCCAGCAGCTGCGGCAACCTGCTGGGATGCCAATCATCCCATGAGGATCAAGCGCATGACATATCGAGGGTCGGCTTCCATTCTGGATGAGCTGCTCTGGATTCGGTGATTCAAAGATGGGGTCCTGAGGGATGGGGCCTAAGGACGAGGTGCCTCAAACAATGTAACTCTACCCTTTGGATCCCGTCCTTAGGTCCCCATCCCTCTGGACCCAATCTTTGAACCACCGAGTCATTCTGGCGGCTGCTTTCGTCCCGAATGACGACTCGACCTCCGAAGCTGAGGTTATGGATCCGCTGGGATGTACAACGGCCGCTGCTCGCCGGACCTCCCCCTGGAGAAGGCTCCGGCCAAGAATCCGAAGCAAGCCCTGCCGTGACGACGAGGGCTCCCCCCAGGAGACCCCCGACAAGTCCACGAGAAACGGAGTGAGGGCCTGGGCAATGGCGGGCAAATCCCCGGAGACAGCCTGCGCGGCGCCTCTGGCCGCCCGGGGCTGACCTGCCTGTCGGAAACCCTGGCCGCGGGGCCCACCGGGCTGCCCGGCGCGCCAGCGGCGGCGACAGCCACGGTGCCGTCGGAGGCTTTCGCGAAGGCTGCGGCGGGCGACGGGCTGTTGGCGGCAGCCTCGCGGGCCCCGCCCGCCGCGCGGAGCGGGCTCGTCGCCCTGCACCGCGGCAGCGAGCGCTGCGGGGCGCGCGCGCCGCCGCCCCCGCCCGCGACGGGCGACTGCAGGCCGTGCAGCATCTCCACCTGCAGCCGCAGCTGCGAGGCCACATTGTGGAGCCCCACCAGCTGCTGGGAGCACGAGAGCTTGGTGCTCTGCAGCTCCCTCTCCAGGCCCGCCAGGCCCCCGGGCGCCAGGCCCTTCTGCAGCGGCGCCGCGGCGCCGCGCGGGGCGCCGAGGGGGCCGGGCGGCGACGCCGAGCCTGGGGAAGCAAAAGTGCAGCCATGCCGCTACTCCCAAGGATCCCAAGGAGAACCCAGCCGTGGCGACGAGGGAAAACGGACGCGGTATCGGCACACTTCCCCCCTCTGAGAGCCCGTGGCTGGGGGCCGAGCGCCTGCCCCATCCAGTGCCCAGCTCGCCCACGCGGCCCACTCGTCCTCGGGGCTGGGGCCCACGGGCGACCGCAGGCTCACGGGCTCCAGCCGCTGCGGCTCCCGCAGCGAGAGGGCGGCCGCGGACCTGGCCGCGAGCAGCGGGCGCATGCGCCTCGGGACACCGCAAGGCACGTGGCCCGCCGGGCCTCTCGAGGGAGGCGGGGCGCCCGCCGCCCGCGCACCCCCTTCGGGGGTCAGCGGACCATCGGCTCCCAGCCCGCCCCGAGCGGGGCCAAGGCAGGGGTGGCCTGGAGGATGGGGGAACGGCGGCGCGAAGGCGAGCGCGAGGACGACGGTGACGACGGTGACGACGGCGGCGGGGAGGGCGAAAAAGACGACGAGGACGGCAATGGCGGCGCCGGCGACGACGACCAACACCACCGCGGCGGCACGCGGAGCCGCGCGCGCGCGCCTCCGCGCGGCCAAGGCGCCAGGAGAGCGAGGGTCGAGGACGATCCGAAGATTGAGGGTCGAACTATGTTCTGATGGTTTTTGTCTTTTGTCGGGGTTATGGGGCCTGCCGGGGCCTCCAAGCCCACCCCCGGATGCCTCTAGAGGAAAGGGTGGAAAGGAGGGGACAGAGCGAAACGAGGGGGGGAGAGAGGGAACGGGGCGAGGGAGGAGTCGGTCAGCTCAGAAGCTGGAGGTCCGGTGGGGACGGGGGAGAGGCGGAGATCTCCCCACGAAGGCGATTCTCCGCCCGAGGATCCTAAAACATGTCGCTGTACGGCCCGCGGGCTGCTGATGCTGTGCAAGGCTGGCAGCCTGGAGCCGCAAGCAAAGAGGAGCGAACTGCCCCAAGTCCCTCCCCACCCGCGACTCGCTCGTAGAACAAATAATCACGGTGCCACCCATGGGGCGCTCTTGAGTGTCAATCAGTCACGGTATCCTGGTACATCCAAGTGGCGTCCACGGGGCATCCTTTGGGATAGACAAGACGACATGGCTACCGCAATATACCTCAATGACCCGTTTGAAAGGGGTTGGGAGGCCCAGCCAGCAGCTTCGCCTATGGAGCGAACTCATAGCCAACCCTGTTGTACCGTAGTAACGATAATCCCAGAAGTAGGATATCGTCGCGGGACCAACGGGCCATCTCAAGCGATGATGTTTTCGGTCCCGATAGCAAGTAGTGTGCGTCGCGATGAAGCGCAGTCATATCTTGGCGGCCGGCCGTTTGAACACAAACGGCCGCGGACAAACGCTCGTTATCTCTCGCCTTGGTCCCAGTTCCCTTTAGAGTCGGGGGGGGAGGAGACGAAGCGTGAGCCCGCCACTCGCTATACAGTAAACACTACATGTACAAAAGGCAGCAAAAGGCAGGCCCAAAAGGAAGGTGAACCCGCACGCAAGCGCCCTTGCACACAAACTGCCTTGCGAGCAGATCGCTCTGCAAGCGAGTACTCCGCAAGCGGTCTCAGACGACGTTGTCTGGCCAGCTCAGTACGGAGTATGAAGTTCTAAGTCATGCTTGAAGGATTGCGTTCCCCCCATGACCTGTAAGAGCATATCTCTGTCAATGCTCCCTTCTGTGAACGTCCGCGGTCATGTCGCGAGTGTCACACCACTGTATACTGTGCACGATACCTCGCTCCATCATCTGTCGTGTCCAACTGATGTGTCCCAAAAGAGTACACTCGGTCGGCTTCTTCAGGTCTTTGCTTGACAAGGACTTGAAGACATACTCAGCATCTATGGTCAAATTGACCTTAATGTTCAAGCCGCCCATCTCTAGTACGTCCTTCAACTGAATGGGTGTCAGTGGCCCTGCGTGGAGTTCGTGCAGAGTGACGACCGTGGGATAGCAGTCCTCCACGTCGCGGGCTGCTGCTCGTGTTTCTGCTGAGTAGCTTGAGCGGACCTGCAAGCGGTGAGACTCGCAGTACGCATCGATCAGATGGACGACAGGCGCACAAGTTGGCGTGCTTCCACGCCGTAGCAGGCTTGCCCCGCGAATACCATAGCCTTTGCCCTCGTCATCAGCATCTCCACTCAGGCGTCGATCGCCGGAATCGCTGCGCAGGTCGACTTCGCACGTTGGAGTCATCGATCGAGAGATGGCCTTCTTAGGGCAGGCCTGCAACTTCCTGGTAATCACGCTCAGTCGTCGGACCTGTATGTTGGTCGGTTCTTGGACACGTTGTAAGGAAACGACATATACCGTCATACGCACCTGCGTGATGAAGGCGTAAGCCAACGCGCCCCTGAGGCTGACAAACATGTCAGTGACCATCTTTGATGCCTTGGCGTCAGCGTCTGCGCTTGTGAGTTCAGGATGCTGTATAGGACGGAGCTGTTTGATGGATTCAGCTTGATCAACTGTAACGTTACCGTACCCATCCTTGGTATACCTCACAACACACTTGGTGCATGTATGCTTGTTGAGTTTACATTTACCAAACATGCCCTCAACGCACTTGACGCACCTGCCGATGGCGTCCTCAGCGCTGGCCATATCGATATCATCAACATGCTTGGCCGTGAGAAGGTTGTTGCTTGTCTCGAACTTCTCGTCGTAAGACTTGGGCTCGAGACCAAACCCTCTCGTGGTCTTTCTGAGCTTCAATGAGATGGCTCTGGGTGCATCCTTGGTGCCGGTACCTGGCCTGAGGCACTGCAAGGAGTGCTTCGACTCATCGCAATGCTCGAATCCTGGGAGGGATCGAAGCACCGATGCTGATCCAAGTGGCAGTGTAAAGCACGCCGCGCGTTCCTTTCACCGGTTGCCTCAGCAAGCTCCTGATAGGTCAGTCCTTCCAGGAAAGCCATGTTGATGTCGAGAGAAGCAATGAACCATTGCTTCTTGCACGCCGCCGTGCTTGCGGGCAGTCTCTGACTTGACCGCCGCGCCGTCCCTGAGAAGGTTTCCACATCGAAGGCCTCGAGGCCCATGAAGCCCCTAAGTACCGGGCGCAGTCTACTGGTCCCTTCCATCTCGCCCTTTTCGTTCTTTACGAATTTCCACTTATATACGTATCTCGAAGTCATGATTTTTGACTTCTCTGATATATCTTGCATCTTGGAACAGTCGTTGTCAAACCATGCCATGAGTTCAGTGTGTGGATCTCTTGATACCTTGACTGGATTCACCTGAATATCGGCCTTCGTGAGGAGGTCGTCCTCTTGGACGACCACAGCTTGTTCTGCGGCAGCGGTCGCATCTACTCGCATGGTGGTCACACGGCCGAAGTCTAATATACTATGTTGTTGTTCGGATAGGACTACCTTTGACATGTCTGCAGTAAAGCAGAGCTCTAGACATTGAGCATGTTCGTCCGAGTCCAATCCGTATGTATGGTCCTCGTCCGTGGAATGTAGCGGGACATGATGTCTCCGTGAGGTCGGAGTCGCGCGGGCAGCCCCGCGCAGGCAGGTGCCCCCGCTTTTCGTTAGCTACCGTGACCAGAGTAATGTTGTCAGTGATCATATGTGCGGGTACAGCGCGAAGGTCATCTAAGGGATTGCCCCCAGTACCTCCCTTCCCTCCTGGAGTTCCGTGTACCGCATTTCCATATGTGCCTCAAGGTCCGCTTCCGATTCCTCATAAATCGTGGGAAGCCGTCCGTCCTCCTGTGGTGTCTTGTGTCGGGGCGTCAGCCACTTCCTCAAACTTCCCCATGTCTTGGTCGAAGCCCGATGGAGGTTTAGTGGACTTTAGGCATTGGATGATCCTCGAATGTGCTGCTCCGATTATGTCATGTACATTCAGGGCAGTGCCTTCGGCGTCGTAATAATGGAAGCCTGGGTCCACGTCGTTACCGCAATGCGCACATGTGCAGCTGTCAGCATAAGGCACCGGAGGTAGCTCGTGACTACTCTTTGCTAACCTGACAGAAACTACGTTCTCGATACGAGAGAAGTTCCTGATAAGGCATTGGAGGGCTAAATGTACCTCAGGAGATAGTCGGCTCGCACTTGTCATCTGAATCGTTCCCTTTTTGGTAGGGATGTAGCCACGCGCCACAGCAGGTCGCCTCGCAGGTAGACTGGCGACAAATGCCAACACTGCCCGTAGCGCAGCGCTGTCTGAGCCAATCTCTCGGGCTATCAAAACTTCGATGTATAATGAATGTCGTGCGTCGCCGCACTGAACTTGTACATCCCGGTTTCCCACTCGGATGATAACTTGGCCCCTGTCGAGATCGTTCTGTGCGACCGGGAAAGGGCCGTTCCAGCCTCCCCAGTCGCCCTTCGTTGTCGTGGGACGGTGATGGTCGGCCAAATCTCCTTCATCATCGTAGTGCTGAGCAGTGATAGTCGTCTTGGCACGCAGTGCACGATTGGTTTTGGCTACTGCAAAAGTTTGCGTGATAGCCTCTATGCATACCCGGTGGATCACCTGTTCTCGAGAATGGTCGGATGTCTCTGTCTGCTGTTCATAATCCAGAACAGGCAGGTCGGGCAGCATCGCTGATTGCATTCCAAACAGGGCGTTGCATGGAGACGCCTCACTGTAAAGGTGAACGCGCTGGCGGCAAACAAGGCTCCATGCAGTAGTCGTGTGAGCACAAGATGTATGTCTAACCTTTGGAGCTCAGTTTCCATGACGTGACGTAGATGTCGTAGTGTGCCACTTCTGGCTTCAAGTGTCGTAGCGCGTTGTCCACGCGCGCGCATCCTCAGCTCAGTGCCCTTCGCCGCAGGGACTGCCTTAGCGGTATCGTTGTTAAGGGCGCCCTCCCCGTCGCAGGTCCGAAGTGCACCCAGTACTGATGATACGCATCTAAGATACGGGTCATTGTTTTATCTGGTAACTCGATTCCAGTGGCATATCGAATGTAACGATCAGTGATGTGAAATATCTTGAGATCCTGCTTGTAGAACATTAAGTCGCAATAAATTTCCTCATTGAACTTGCCAGGTAGCGAAGTGGGTGGCATAACAGCATGCCCTGGCTTGTCCCAAGCCCCGCTCTCCCGACATGCGTCACAGACACCCTTGATTAAGTTAAGCCTGACGCTGTCCAGACCAGCCTTGGTTAAGTTGAGTCGCATCTTAGGCTCTTTGGCGTGTAGCCACCGCAAGTGTAGTTTCCACAGCTCGCGTTTTCCCACGATTGGGTCAAGGCTTCGTAGGTTATGTAGACTGATTTGTACATCGAACTTTGACCAGTCTGGGAGTCGTGGACGTGCAGCAGGGCTACCCG